GCGGAGGCAAGTGAATTAGTTGTTACCTTTTTTTTTTTGCGGTGCGGAGACTTGGATTTATTCTCGAGTATAAACTTTTCCTGACTACATGATGATAGCATGAAAATGCATTAACCTTTGCCACTGTTCACTGTTCATATATATATATATATATATATATATATATATATATATATATATATATATATATATATATATATATATCGGACATCTAGCCACACTGAAGAGCTATGATACAGCGAAACAGTCTGTTTGTGGATGGCAATATATAAGCACCAGGAAATTCGGTTGATCACTCTTGTGCATAGGGTAATTTTGAAAACAATGGCTCATAGCGCTATTAACGCATTGCTCTTCAACCGAATTGAATTGAGCTGTCCGGGTGACTCACGTATTTCGTATAGAAAACGTTAAAATTTCCCTTCGTCTCTGCCGTGCAACGATATCCTAGGGGTAGAATCTCTGATTGATAACAAATTCGTTGGGTTTTGATCCCGGCTTGAAGCAATCGGACGTCTAGCCTCAGTGAAGAGCTGTAATACAGCGAAACACTCCGTCTTTGGATGACTATATAAATATGTATGTGTGTGTGTGTGTGTGTGTGTGTAAAGGGGTCAATTGGCTTTGCATTGCAATAGACATTTTGTCCATTATATTACCATGTTCCGCACTGTGTGCCACATATCAGATTCTCCTACTATCAATGATTTGGGGGATAGTTGCTTTCCATCTCCTAGCAGCCTTTTGGTCTTTGGTTTCTGTAAGAAGTTCATCTGACCTTTGCCGACCCTCGCCAGGCGGTTTAGAATTTAAAGTGTCCCTTCTACTAGACTGGTTACCAACAAAAGCTATGGGCTTAATCTGTCCTATCATTTAACCATAGCTGGGGGAGAATACATAGATTCATATTTTTACAGTATTCAAAATAATCCCGTAGAATTCGTATTACATAGCAATTCAGCACTATATTCTTTGCTTGTATCAAAATTTGTTTGGCATTTGGAAAGTTTTTTTCGCTATTCTAACGTGACTTCATATTGCCATCTTTTTTAAGCATTTGATAACAGAAAATACCATTTCCTATCGCTTTTTAATAGACTGACGAAAAATAATTTTTTTTCAAACTTGTTCAGACTGCCGCAGAAATAAATAATACTGAATATTCGATTCTCTTTTGAGAATTGACATTAGGTCAAAATTCCCTCCCTTTCTTTCATGTTACATTGAAATATTTATTAAAGCTATCATTAGCGTTTCCTTAATGCATTTGCGAGAGACGAATGCTTCACACACCCTCTAGGATATTGTTGCTAAACCTCAGGTGCGCCATACGGTGAATATGTCGACCTAACACAACGATTTTAACCAAGAAACAACCCCTTTCGTTCTATCACTAAAATATCGTTTCATGTTATCGTAAATGGATATTATTCTTTTTTTTTTTTTTCTTAAACGCATTCCAGACAGTGTTAATGGATTGCAAACTTCTGTTGTTATAATGGGTCACAGTAATTGTTTGAATCAATCATTTGCTTCTTTGGAATGGAAACGTGTCGGCGGTCGGCGGGACTTATAATGCGCCAACTGTATCCCCTGCAGATGAACAGGACATCTAAAAAATAGTCCACATTCTGGGTCGATACGTGTAGATTTACTTATGAACGCAATCTCTACTATTTTGATTCTCGAGTAAACCGTGCCTACACCCTTGTGCAAATTAATTGAAACAACCGCTTTAGTTTCCTTTCTTTCAATATGCAGTCAGTTTTAGAGCCGCTGGAGGGACAACGTGTAATTGATTTCTATTTTTTCCTCAGATTAAGTCATTTGAAGTGGTGTGCAGTAATACGAATCTATTTTCGGGGTGTATAATGAAATTTGTTTGGCCATTAAAAATATTGCGTCATCCATGATTGCGTTACATGTTTATCACGCCCAGACACTATTGACTCGACTGTCGATTAGTTGTCCTACGACCATTGTCTGCGGTGGACGTTATTCCAAAGAAGAGTACGAAAATTGCGACGCTGCAAGAACTCACTGGCAAGCCTTACCAGTGAGCAAATCAAAGTACTATAGATTGGCCTGGAAATTCTCCTGATTTAAATCCCATCGAGAATCTCGTAGAATGAATATACGTTGAAAATACACACACACACACACACACACACACACACACACACACACACACACATATATATATATATATATATATATATATATATATATATATATTTATTTATTATATTTAAACGTTGTTTTTTTAATGAATGCCCACATTTTACTAGATGTTCTATTTTTATTTATTTATTAAACAGTATATTTATTTATTTATTTCCCTCTAGCGGCCTGAACATTCTAGAAATCTTTTGAGGGAAATATGCGCCCTCTGGTGTAGGGTAATTATTAATCAGGTCCATAGTGAGAAATCACCTCTGTTTTAATGGTGATTTTAGGTTCGGAAGATGATAGGATTCACACAAAGAATTAAAAGGATGGTGGACCGACATAACGGAATTATTCATTTCGTTTTAATTATTTTCCACAAGAGTGTATATCTATACATTTCAGAAGTCGTTGTGATTTTATATTGTATCAGAAAAACTTAAATAATTTACTCCGAGCATGCGCAATGAGTCACTCTCCTAGATTTTAACATCAGCCATGTTGATGAAAGGCAAAGGTGTTTTTTCAGACAATTAAATTAGTAGTTAGGATTTTAATTTTATTTATTATTTATTTTTAACTTAAGATTCCTGTAAACAACGTCTCCAGTGCAAGGAACAAAGAATTTAGTCCTTACCTGGAAAACTGGTAACCTTAACTGTGGCGAAATAAAGAGAATAATTACATATGTATGACTCCGTTAAAAAAATATCTAGAGTGTGAGCGCTTACGTGGTTGTGATAATTACGAACTTTCGATCAGTGTTCAGGATCAATCCAAAACGTAGTCTTTCGAATGCTTACTTTCTAGACGAGAAGTTTTTGCAAACACTACTATTCACTCAAAGGAAGGATCAAGCGTCAATCGATCTAGGGGCTTATAGTTAAAGTGGTAACGATAAATGAGGTATGTTGTATAAATGAAAGAGGGGGTGATAGGAACTGAAGATTATGAGGATAACGAAGATACATACAATTGACCCTTGTCTTGAATAGGTGAAGATTGTAGCGCGCCAGAAATAAAACGCTTGAGAGTCGGTTCCAAAATATGTCATTTCTTAGCAAAACTGTTTTCTTAGATTTTGAACACGGGGACGATGAAGGTGATTCAATTTCTTGGAAGTAGCATGGTCTGTCTTTGTTGTAAACGTCTGTACTGGTGATATTTTCGACTTGGAAAATTAAACAATCACTATCTACGTTCCAGCTTTCTACAAAAATATGTATTGTGAATAGATGAAAAAAATGAACGTTTTGCAGGGAACGACACTGGAGCTGCACAAACCTCGCTTTCCAACCTAGGCAGAGTTCAAAACATCTTACGCAGCCTTGTGGGTGATGAATTAATTTTCACCCCCTACAGCCTCTTCCCACGGGACAAAAATCTCGCTATTTTAACCCTGTATCCATGGCAAATATTCAAAAGAGCTATCTTCCAGGGAACAACAAGTTCAGACCTTTATAGCTATGGTACGCCATTCCATATTCACAGTTCGAATCATCCTCATTATCTTCGTCTTACATTGATAAGAAGAAAGTTCCATACAGAGAGATTTTTCCCGAGAACGACAACATTTTGGAACAGATTGCCCAGAGGATGCTTCCCAAATCAATACAATCCTAGCCTCTTCACGTCAATGGTCAAATTTTATATATCCTATATATACTCATAATCTAGAGTTGTTCCTTCTGTTGAGCGAATAAGTAAAAGAAAATAGCGGCATCTGAGATTGAGTCTAGACAAACGACTAATTTTTTCGCGAGCAAGCCTTCTTGACTTGGAAGAATGGAAAGCTGGAGAACCTACCAACAATTGATTATCAATAACAATATAGAACAAGCAGACGACACTGTGTTGATGGCAGACTCAGAAATAAAACAAGAGTGCCATCTGAACAATATAGTAAAGAAAAGCGAGAAGAAAAAAAAAATCTAACCATCAAGAAACGCCATAGTTTTTAATACAGATATTTTTTTCCATGGGTAAAACTTCTTCACGTGGAAAAATGGCGACATGGATTCTTCCTTCTTTCCGAGTTGGCCTTGTTAATAATAAACTGAACATCCTAAATTTGAAGATGAGCTGAAAGGAGTTGAATGCGTCGAGCTACTTTAAGGCGAACATAGAATCTTACTGGCCGGCCGGTTAATCTATTTTCCATTTGCTTACGTCTTCAGGGGCTAGAGGCGCATGCGCGGGTACGTTAGGGCTCTTAGCAGTAAGAAAAATAAATCGAGTTTTTTTTTGTCTTTTTTAACAGGATATAGGAAGAAAAACTGGTAAAAGAGAGAATATATATATATATATATATATATATATATATATGAATACTTTCGATTTTAGTGAATGTATATATATATATATATATATATATTAAAAGAGAAGCACTGAGTTTTTTTCTCTCAATATATATATATATATATATATATATATATATATATATATATATATATATATATATATATATATATATATATATGTATCAACACTTTTATATATATATATATATATATATATATATATATATATATATAATAAGTATTAGAGAGAGAACTATTGAGATAACGATGGAATGCGATAGAGAAGAAAAAACATGAAATAATGAAGTAACGGGGGTGCATCAGTTAAAGAAAAAAATGGTAACGTTTTAATGTGAGAGGTGGGAGGTGATACCAAAAAGAGAGAAAGGAGAAAAAAAGAGAGAGTGAGAGTACGTGAAAAAAAAAGAAAGGAAAAAGTGAAGAGTAAAGAAACAGATGAAATGATAGAAAGAAGATGGGAAGAGAGAGAACATAACGAATTGAAAACAAGATAATGGTCAAAGGAAGGCAAACTCAATGAACGAGAAAACTAGATGACAAAAAGGAAAGAAAGAAAAGTAAAGAGAAAAAGAAGTAACCTAATGAAAGAGAAGAAGTTTTAATGTTATATTCAATAAGAGTAAGAAAGAAAAATGGAGAATAATGCATAATTTGAGAGAAAACGTGAAAGACATTGGCGATACACAAAAATGCATTGAATTTCCGCATGCAGAATACAGGGAACGCCAACTAGGGAAGTCAAAATTGGCAACAAAAAAAAATGTCTACAGAAAAGTTTTGATGGAAACGTTTCATGAATTTTGTGATGGGTGGGTTTTATCCTTCCTTTGGGAATTTCCATCGGTAAAACATGGCTAGGTTTTAAGAAAAGATTTTTGCAAAGTAGGAATATGTTTTTAGAAAAGTTTTGTGACGTACGCTGGCCGTTAATAATTAAGTATACCTCAAGACTTCAATGTTAAAATAAAACAGTATTTTATTACAACCGAAAATAAATACTTAACCAGAACAAAGAAGCAAAAGATAATTAACCATTTCAAAGGTTAAGATAATTAACCATTTTAGTGAATACCTTGTTATTAGCGCGGCACGGCTTAACCTACGGTAAATCCTAAATCAAAACCCAAATAATCGACGCCCCATAATTCACACTAATCCGACTGGATAGTTCCACTCAATAGTCACTCAATAGTCAGCGTAGTCAGTAGCCTGACATCCCTATTTATACACCTGGTGGAAAATATATATTCATAAGTCCAGAGTGTCACGCTCGAACCTCGAGGTCGGTAGTAACTTATATTCTTCTGGTATGACAGAAAGTGTGGCAACCTTTTTAGAACACAAAGGAAAACGTCCACGTCTAATATATAAACATCAGTGTTTCTGTGGGCGTCCGTTCGAAACACTTAAAACTAACTATCGATGAACTCGACTCTGTGTTTTGTAAATATTACGGAGAAATGCGAAATCACATGAATTCAATTTTCTAATTGCTATATTTCAAGCATATGTCTTATATATTGTCGACATCAAACAAGCACAGAAGTCTAAATATCTGGAACGTGTGTTAATAGAAAATGGAACTGGAATCGCAATGAGTCCATGTCAATAGCAAATGAAAGGACAAAGGGCCGGAAACGTTTAATGTAAAACAAATTAATGAGTGCCGAACAATTATACAGCATCGATCGTCTTATATGGACACTCTACTCAGAGATGAAGAGAAAGCAGGAAGCAACATAAACCTGGTTCTATAGAAGGATAGTGAGAATCCTCTGGACGGAGCGCGTAAGCAACGAAGAAGTCATGAGGAAAATGGAAAAGAAAAGGGCATTTATGCCCAGGATCAAAAAGAGCAATCTGAAATTAATTTCATACATAACAAGGAAAAAGTGTTTGGAGATATTGACACACACAGTAGATATCGAAAGAAAAATGAACAGAGAAAGGCAGAGGGGTACCTACAAAACGAATTGGTGTAAATGGATGGGGGAAGGAGATATAGGAGCCTTGGCAAAGGGACAAAGATGATTTTAATGCCTCCAAAACTAAAATTCTCACCATTAATCAACTGAGAGACCCCTCTCTGCATTCCATCAGCATGGCCGTTGCTAACATCCAGGAAAGTGACTCGTTGTGCCTTCTCGTGCTAACGTTCTCAATTGACATGAAGTAGAAAGACTATATCGGATGCAATGCTAGGTCAGCTGCGTCGTTGTGTTGTGCGAGAAAAACTTTTTTCTCCAGAATCTATCTTAGATATCTATAAGTCTACCATTCTTCCATGTTTAAAATATTGCTAACATATATGGTGCGGTGCCTTTGCTATTTACCCTGAGTTCCTTGATAAAATCCAATGAAGAATCAGCAATATCATCGGTCATGATCTGGCAGCTCTGCTTCGGTCACTCCCCCACCACTTTCACGTTTGCCTATCTATGTCTTTTTTATAAATAATTTCATGGTAATTGTAAAGACGAGCTCTTTGCTTTGTGGTTTTTTTTTATTACTCACAATATTTTGTTTAGTTTCTTGTAAATAGATTTGTACTCATATTGTAAATACTCATTAACGCTAGTTGTTAAATTTTAAATTGTTGTTTTATTCTTCTCCCCCCAGACAATGAATTGTACATATGGGGACTAGTTAGGATTTTCATAGAGACAATGAGGTATTATGGTGGATGTTGTAAGAAAGGTAAGAAAGAATGTGTTGTTTTGGTGTTAGGAATATTGTAATATGTTTGAGTCAGTGTTTGTGGCTAGCTAAGTTTAAAGTTAAAACAGAAGAAAAAGACCGTTCCTTGCCACATTTTTTGTATTTGAAGCGGAAATGAATATCTTTCTTTGCTATGGTACCTAGACTTTTTGAATTTAAACGTAGTACTCGACTGGCGTCAAGATCTCATCAATTACAGTTCATCACATTCTGATTGTTCCTTTTTCCGTTTCCTTCTTTTATTTTTTCCTTTCTTTTGATACATAGTTTTCATTTCAGGTTTTATTTAATTTTTTTCTAAACATTTCTTTTACATATTCCTCTCGTTTTTTCCATGTCATTATCTCTTCAAATGTACTAACAATAGTGGTCATATACCGGAAGACATATGCACCACCTAGAAATCCATGCTCAAACGAATTTTCCCCACCGGAAAATTAACCTAATGAACAACATAACAAATCCTATCATCCGAATTCTGATGAAAGAGCGTGAAAGAGAGACGGAGGAAATCAGCGCGTAAGATACAAAATGATTTTGAGCAACTGGATGATAAAATAGGATTTGGGAGAAATTTAAAAAATACAAAATTTACAAGGGACAGGAAGATGTGGAAGGTCATGATCGCTTATATTCTAAAGATACACGTCACATTAAAGAAGAAAGAAGTGCAAGACACAATGCATAGTTGTCAACAAAGATGATCCCAAAATAAATATAACAAATTAAAGGTAGCAAAATGAAGCAAACACAAAAATTTAAATATCTTCGAAGTGTTTAACCGAACTCATATTGGGATAGCCAAAGATGATTTCCAGAGCCTACGCAGAGTATTAACTGACCCAATTTTTTCGTTAGTAACAAAGAAATGTGTACTGAACTGTTACGCGATATTTGTTTTTCTGTATTATACCAGAGATAGTATAAGAACAGTACTGGTTCGTCAAATACACCCGAACAAGAAATACGATATTTTATGCTCAGAATGTCATCAAAAAGAGCAATACAAATGCAGAAGGACGTGTACCTGTATTTTATAGATTACGCAAAAGCTTTCGATAAATATGCCACAAAGATCTGTTAGCGCTGCTCAGCAACCTTGACATATTCCTGAAAGACATTAGTAATTTAAAGACTCTATACTAGTAGCAAACCGCCTGCATACGGAGAGAAAATGAGTTCAGAGATATACAAAATTAGTAAGGAGTGTAAGACAAAGGTGTATCTTCTCATCGGATTTATTCAAACTATACAGCGAGTCAATTCTGAAAGAAATAAAAGGCCTACCAAGATTCATTATTGGTGATCGCAGTTTTAACAATATAAATGCAAATAACACGGAGACACTAAAAGGAAACTACAAAAGCCTCTACAGAAGATAGCGAAGGAAAGCGAGAAGAAAGGACTATGTATAAATTACAGGAGGACAGAATGCATGGTTATCAGCGAAAAGATGAGCCCAAAATGCAAATAATAAATAGAGAATACTACAATCAATTACAAACAGAAATTTAAATATTTGAGAAGTGTTCTAACAGAGGACAGAAAGAGCGACACTAAGATCCGAAGACGTATTAGGGTGGCTAAAGATGTATTTCAAAAGCTAAGCAGAGTATTAAGAGACACGAAAATTGCGTTAGAAAAAAAGAAAAATGTACTGAACTGTTACGTGATGTTCTTCTGTATGGTATCAAATGCCTGACATTCTTCTCAAAGATGAAGAAGCGATTTGAAGCAACAGAAATTGGTTCTACAGAAAGATTCTTTGGATGACATGGACTGAACATGTGAGCAACAAGGAGATTTTGGAGAAAATTAAAACAAAAAGAAAATTATACTTCACATCAGGAATGGTCAATTGAGATTTTGAGGCGTGTAATGAGAACCTAATACTCACAAGACAGTTTGAAGGGAAAGAGAGACGGAGGAAATCAGCGCGTAAGATACAAGATGATTTTGAGCAACTGGATGATAAAATAGGATTTGGGAGAAATTTAAAAAATACAAAATTTACAAGGGACAGGAACATGTGGAGGGTCATGATCGCCTACATTCTAAAGATACACGTCACATTAAAGAAGAAAGAAGTGCAAGACACAATGCATAGTTGTCAACAAAAGATGATCCCAAAATACATATAACAAATTAAAGGTAGCAAAATGAAGCAAACACAAAAATTTAAATATCTTCGAAGTGTTTAACCGAACTCATATTGGGATAGCCAAAGATGATTTCCAGAGCCTACGCAGAGTATTAACTGACCCAATTTTTTCGTTAGTAACAAAGAAATGTGTACTGAACTGTTACACGATATTTGTTTTTCTGTATGACACTGAATGTTAGGTAATCTCCTCAAAAATGAAAAAGATACTTGAGATAACAGTAATGTGGTTCTACAGAAGGATGCTGAGAATACTCTGGCCTGAAAACAACATGGAAAAGAAAAGTATGCTTATAAGTAAAGTGACAGTTGAAATTACTAGGGCGCATAATGAGGAAAAAGGGCTTAGAAAATCTGACACTCATAAGATATATTAAAAAAGCAAGAGAGACACAGAAAAACAACGTATAACCTAACAAGCAAGTTTGTGCAAATGGTTGATAGAACAGGGTTTAGGGGCGATATCAAAAAGATCAAATTTACTAAAAGCTCCAAAGGACAGGAAGTTGGAGAGAGCCATGATCGCCCAAGGCCTGAAGGGACACAGCACAGAGTAAAAGAAGAGGTCAATTTCTGTTTCATTTCCTGGAATGAAGAGTAATCATGATTTTCATTTTCTGAATTCAGACTGTTGTCCTCATCTTTGTTGTTATTAACAAAATATTACAACCGTTGTGTCTTCAGGTATTCTTCAGGTGTGTGTCGACTAATTGATTGATTTTATTTATTGTTTGTTTTACGGTTTATCAACCGTTGGTGGTTATTTAAAGCTAGGATATATTATCTTTATACAATTATAATTTTTAGCGTGAGTAAATATTGTTTTTGGCAATAACAATACTTTTTTCTCCAGATACAAGTCTTACTGTTTAACCCATACGTGGGAGAAAAAGAAATACGTTTACACCTTAGCCAAGTGTATTTGCGCGGAAATATTTGTAATAAATTCGATTGTAATTCGAACTCGGATTTTGAGGTGCTTTTCATTGCACCGGCAACACATCCAAGGTAAAAGAAAAGACAAAAGAAAGAAAGAAAAAAAGAAAATGAAGAATAAAAAAAAATGTAAAGGAAAATAAAAATAAAACTGTGGACGAAAAGCGGTGAGATGCTGAAAATCTTAACAATTTGCTTCCGGAGAATATAGAAACGGGTAGGTAAGGTAAGCACCGTGAAATGTTGTGTTCGTTTCGCCGCAGACGCAATTTAGGAGGCCGCTTGCGAAAAAGCCTGCATAATTAGACAACTATTCTTTCATCAGATAAATAAATTCGTTGTTCGCGCGCTGCGAGCGAACTGAAACGTGTCACCTAGCCACGCGGGAGGGTCAGGAAAAAAGAGCCTTGGTATTTTAAGAAACCACAAAAAAAAAAAAAAAATGCCGAGCTATGTCAAAGCTTACGAAATATAGCGAGGCCAGCGAGGTAATCGGTCAACAAGGACACCTTGCTTTCGACAGAAAAATAACTTGATTGATTTTGTAGTTGGCCATTTTGGGATCATCGGGTTGAAAGTTGAAGGATAAAAGCCGCAGGAAGACGCAGAACAAGTTCTATCTATCCATCTATGGCAGAATTCTCATTCCATTCTCTATTTGGCCATTTCCTGCTTTACCGTGTCATCTATGTCATTATTTATATATCTCTGTCATATATATATATATATATATGTAATTTATCCGCCCATTTTTGTATGTATGTATAATTTTATAAGTATATATATACATGTATATATCTTTGTTTTTTGTACATCGTTCTCTCTTTCCCTTTCTCCTCTCCTTCACTCGCTATCTATCTACCCTCTCTCTTTCTCTCTCTCTCTCTCTGTATATATATGTGTGTGTGTGTGTGTGTATAAGGAGTTTTGAAAAGTTCGAGGTTAGACAAGAATTAGTATGAGGGATATTTAATAACATTCGTATATGTGTGTATGTATGCGTGTGTTATATATATATATATTATATATATATATATATATATATATATATATATATATATATATATATATATATATATATACGGTGCTGAAAAATTATTACGTAAAAAATCTCTTTATATATATATATATATATATATATATATATATATATAAAGAGAGAGATTTTGTACTTTATATATATAGAGAGAAACACAGAGAGAGAAAGAGATAGAGATTTTTTAATGTAACAATTTCCAACACTGTTTATATTATATATATATATATATATATATATATATATATATATATGCGGTGCTGAAAATTGTTCCGTACAAAAATCTTACTTTTATATATATATATATATATATATATATATATATATATATATATATATATAGAGAGAGAGAGAGAGAGAGAGATAATATTAGTGGAAAATATACATACATATGCAAAATATATATAAAAAAAATACCCATATATGTATATTTTCAGAAAAAAAAATTTCAAGAGGAAGAATCCAGGTAGAACTCAATGTCTAGGTCAGAGTAAATATATATATAAATTTTGATTTAAATAAATTGTATTTATGGGTGGGGGAGGACGCTTAATATAGGAGGACATAGCTTTTATAAATAGGAATACAGACTGACTAATTCACTCTCTCTCTCACACACACACACACACACACACACACACACACACACATATATATATATATATATATATATGGAGAGAGAGAGAGAGAGAGAGAGAGAGAGAGAGAGAGAGAGAAAGAACTCGGGTTTGTGGATGTTGCCACGCCTACGCCTACGCCTACGCATGAACACGAGACAATATATCCCTATTCTTACAATATATCACAATTTTTGAGCTCACATTCAGGGTTGCCAGATTATGCAAAGTTAAATATCTATTAAACTAGCCATTATTGTTGCTTTCATGGTTCAAGAGGAGTAACTCTTATTTTCCTTTTGTATCCAAAACTTAACTTAAAATTTCAAGCTAACTAAAATTTTAAGCTAGCTTAATTTTCAGGTAGCTCCTGTGTAGTACTCTTCTTTTGGTCATCATGACAATAGCTAGGAAAGAATAGATGCGATAGGCATAAATAAACTACAGAAGAACTCAAAATTGATCGCTGCATTTAAGTATTTAATTAATGTTTAAGCTTACCTTTTAAGAGTTCAACGATAATTCTTCTGGTGCCAATTAATTTAAAGACAATTTGATGTACGTAAATCTTATTACAAACAATTATTTTTATTTCATGGGTGACAGAAAAGGATACAATTTATAAGATAAAATTAATTTGGTGTAAAGATGGGAAAACAGAAATTAGAATTAGTTATACATTCAACATTTGAAGAGTTTGAGAAACATAACAGCAAATTAAGTAAAATCTATATTAAGGAACCTATATGGATAAATGCGAAATTGGAGCTCAGTTCTCCCAAGAATTCTGAGAGGAAAATATCCCAGCTCTACTTTACATTAACTTACACGCTAAAAGCTCAATATCTGTATTATATATTACCTTATTCTAGGCAATATGACTCTCCAGGTTTAATTAATTTATATATTGATTTTTAAAAAAGTTTATTAAATTAATTAACTGACCTTCATTACTGTTCTTTTTGAGGATTGTTTTGATTTTCATATCAAAAATAGTTCTGTTTCGGAATATCTTCTTATATAGTGCAGAAAAGAGTCTGAAATTTGGATTTTATTTGGCCTTCAACAAGTTGGCATCTATTTGTAAAACTTTCCTTAACTATAACAAGCCAATTTATGAAAGAAATATTCATTTAAAATGTCTGTTTGAAAGATTTCAAGCGGTGGATATATCTTATTTTGCCAAGCGATAGCGAGCGGGTGAATCCTGCTAATATATATATATATATATATATATATATACATATATTAAAATATGTTATATTTATAGAGGAAATGAATTGTGACTGTTAGTTTAGTTTAACACTTCAGTGCGATTCACAACCAGTCAACACAGCAGTAAAATAATAATAATAATAATATATATATATATATATATATATAATAATAATAATAATAATATATATATATATATATATATATATATATATATATATATATATATATATATATATGAACATATGTGGAGAGAACTGGCCAAGTGGTCAGAGGCACAACGACCCTACGATCACTCCCGGTCATGGATCTGATGATGATGATGATGATGATGATGATATCTTTCGGATCCGAAAGCAAACTATTCAGATGTATTCTTTTAAATAGTTTAATAATTAGCAATCACTTTTTCATGGTATCATCAAATTGCAATATACAGCTATGTAATGAGAGAGATAATGTGTAATAAGAGATGTTTCATTGAATAATTTAGGCAAGTTTTGTCTACTTATTTTCAATCGCATCCTTTCATATTCACGAACAAGCTTTTTGGTGTCATCATGAAAGGAAGAGAGAAAATCACTGTGTTGATACATATTATTTTATTCCAAGTACTTTCGATATAGCACAATGTCATCATCAGGATGTTGTTTGTTTCAAGACAAATATTGTAATGTTCATCATTTTTAAAGACAAATGTGCTGTGTTCATTTGGAAGTTAAATTTTGACTTGTAACATAAGAATGCTGAATGGATATGTGATAGCTTGACGCACATTTCAGGGGAGGTAACTAAGCATTGGTGTGTCGATAGTTTTTACGAAATAAATATTAAAACTATTGCAAATTGATATTTTAAACTATCTATTAGACACATTTTAAAACATTTGTGAAATGGTCGTAATTAATTTTATTAAGTCTTGGCTTCAATTTTTTAATAGAGATAGCCTCGAGAATTTTTAGTTTCTGTTTATTATTTTCATGTACAAGTATATATGTATTTTCAACGAATTTTCGTGAAATGGGAATGTGGACAGGTATGCTGTTGTAAATGTTTAGAAACGTTGAACATAACATTCAAATGAAAACTCGGCCCACATATATTTATATATGTGTTTGTGTCAAATTAAAAAAAAAATTGTGACGCGTTTTATCCGTTAGGACTTAATCGTACTGAATTTGTTTACGTTGTTGTGACTACACATCCCCCATGAAAATGACTCATTGCGCTTTCTAGGTTTAACGTTCTCAGAAGTGATCAGACCATATTGAATCCATTGCTAGGTCAGCTGATAGGAAAGTCGATTCACTGTGTCAAGCGAGACAATTTTTCTCACCCGAATCTATCTTGCATATCTATGTCTGCCATTCACGCATGGTTAGTATATTGATGCCGCATATTTTTCGGTGCTCCTGCTATTTACCTTGTGCTCCCTTGATAAAATCCAAAGAAGAATCAGCAATATTATAGGTCCTGATCTGGCAGCTAGGCTTCAGTCAGTTGCCCGACGCCGTAAGGTTACCTCTTTGCACCTTTTTTTTAATAAATACTTTTATGGTAATTTTCGAATGTTCTTTTCGCTATGGTACCTAGATTGTATGAATTTAAGCGCGATACTAGATCGGGAGGGAGATATCATCAATTTGCACTTGAGATGGAAAGTTATAGCCGTCATTTCTATGCTAACGGTTTCTTTTCTCACACTTCCGGCTCCAAACAACATTAATCTGCAAAAAATTATATGTAATGTCAGTCGCTATTTACTGTCTTCCTAATTAATCTTTTCTTCTTCTATTCATTACTAATGTTTCTGTACTTAATTCATCAATAGCCTGTAATCCATTGCTTGTTAGTGGCTGTACTGTCTTATTTGGGGTGTTACCGATTAAAAAAAAAACGCATGCGCACGAACAAGAGACAAAATAGTGGCCAGTTTCTATATGGGAAACAACCAATGCCTTTTCTGTGTGATTTTTAAAAATGTCTCTAATGTGTTCATATAATCTTGAGGTTTTATAGCCTTTCTGGTAATCCTTACTAATGTTATAGTAAATTCCCCCTTCAACTTTTGACTTTTTGTTTTCTTTTGTATTAAGTATTTTATTATTTTCCATGTAATTGTGACAAGTTGAATTTAGATAAGTTCTTTGCGATTGTTACATGTTAAACCGCCTTAACACCAGCTTAAAAGTTAGTTTCCACCGAAAATCAACTAATAAAAATGACCTAATAAATTTATAATCGCATCATAACAACAAAATAAATTCCGTAATGTTCATTGGATTCTATTTAAGAGCACTCAGAATTTGCAGCCCTCAATATTTACACGAAAAGGAAAAATATATTGAAAATACATTCAAGACCCTTCAATACCCCTATTTCATATTCAATACGAAACAAATGGCGCATAGAAATTCAAAAATAGAAAAACTATCCCTCCTGACAAACCCAACGAATCAAAAATATATTGATCTACCAATTAAGTCTGTCGTAATGGCAATCTGCAATAAATTTTCTATTTATCCGATATTAGCTTAATTAAATCGCATATCACCACAAAACAGATCAAATACAGCAAGAAATCCAACCAAACCTTAAAAATAACATTATTATACACAGTTATAAACCTCAAAAACGATAAAAAAATACTAAAAGAATTAAGCGTAAAAGACAAGCAACTCAATATCAATAATATTTTA